ACTGTCATATAAACTATGCAAATACTTACAATACAGACAAAACTTAAAACTCTTTTTAATCATCAGAAACATGCAGCTCGCGCAATTATTTTTAAAAATCGTCTAACTGACTCTGCACCACTTCTTAAAGATATGAAAGCTTTGAATGTTTATCAACTTAATATTTTTAATATTTTATGCTTTATGTTTAAGTGTAAAGAAAATTTATATGCACAGGTATTTCAATATCTTTATTCTTTAAAACAGAAAAACAAATGTAATTTACGAATTGACAACAATCTTAATGCTCCTTTTTGAAAAACTAAGTACGACGAATTTTGTATGTCCTATCGTGGACCTCTTCTTTGGAACAAAATAGTTTTACCTAATTTTGACTTTTCAATCAAACTAAACTACTCCTCATTCAAAACCAAAATTAAAGAAATTATCTTTTTAATTGAAAACATCTTTATCTATTTTTGAGTTTTTACCATTATTGCTGATATATTAGACTTTATTGTATTATGTTTTACTATTTACGAATATTTCCATGAGTTCTTTGCAAGCTTATGTATTTAATGGTTTGTATTTTATTACTTTTTCTTACTGTGTTTTGTTAAACTTCATATTGTTTTTGTTATTTTACGAATTTTTATAACTTCATTATAATATTACGTATTTATATTATATTATACTCGATACTAAAAAGCATTGTAAAGGGCTTCATGATAAGATCATCATGATCTTCTAGAAGTCCTGCCGCTAAATTTGTAATATGTTAAAATTTGTATTATTATTAAAATTATTTGGCAAAAAAAAAAAAAAAAAAATTTGTATTATTAATAAAATTATTTGGCAAAAAAAAAAAAAAAAATGAATGATAACATCATTTAATAATAGCATTTAATAACAGTAATAGTGGTTAAAACTGAACGATAACTTTTCTTATAACTTAATATTATATTAATGAACTTGATAATACACAACATAATAATTTAATAATAATTATTTATTATATTGTATAAAATTATATTAATGAAAAAAGTATTGCTACATGTGAAATGCTTTCTCAGTAGGATCGATCTCTTCTAAAGAGATATCGTTCTGCTAAAACATTTTACATATTCACAAAAGCTATATGAAGACTATTCATGTAGCATGTACATAAAAATTCCTGACAGAATATAGCTATAGAATATAAGTTTTTATTAAAACATGATAACAATATTAGACAATTTTAAAAGTTGCATAAATTAAATCATGACTTTTCTGTACAACTTTTTTTTTTTTTTTTTTTTTTTTTTTTTTTTTTTTTTTGTTCTTTTCTTGAATATTCAATATAGTTATACAATAAGATAGTTGAGATAAAAATCGTTATACAATAAAAGAAAATATATACAAAAAAGAAAGAACGCGGAGACTCACAGAAGACCTTCAGGTCTTATCATCGAGAACCGCTCGTGAATATTAAGTACATTAAATTAACATGAAGTATAAAATCTAAACAATGTCGTATTAAAAATTAGCGAGAACGTAAATTTCGTAACAATATATAAATAAAATTGGAATAAAGAAATTGTTGATACTCTTATATATAAATACAAAAATATTTTAAAAAGTGCTGTTTTCACAAACACATAAGTTATGGATCAGATATAATATTTATATATTACCTTATGTAATAAACTTCATATTCATTTTTAAAAGAATTTAAAAATATAAAAAAATGTCTTCAAAAGACAAAACAATTTCTTTTAGTTTTTTCTTGAATGAAAGATAATTCCATTCATGGGAAAAATCAAAATTTTTTAAAACTATTTTGTTTCATAGAAAAGCTCCTCGATATGAAATACATGACTTTCCAAAATTAGTTAAAGATAAAGGTTGCTGAATTTGATTATCATTTCTTAAGTTATACTTATTTTTATCTTTTAAAGTATATAGATTATGAAAAGAAACTGGAGATTCGTTGGTTTTACACTTGAACATAAAACAAAGTATATTAAAAATATTTAGCTGATAAATATTAAGAATTTTCATTTGAAATAATAATGGTTTGGCATGAGCAAATCGATCTTTATAATTGATAAGCCGAGCAACATGCTTCTGCTGACGATAAAGATGTAGCAGTTTAGATTTATTGGTATTACCCCAAGCAATATTTGCATAATTTATATGGCAATGGATTAAAGAGAAATATAATTGTGTTAAACTGTGTTTATTTAAAGCATTTCTAGCCTTGTACATTACTCCTATATTTCGAGCAACTTTGTTGCACAATAAATCAATGTGATACTTCCAACTAAGGTTTTCATCAATATTTATTCCTAAAAAGTTAGTAGTTTGTTTTCTTTTTATTTGAACTTTGTCAATAAAAAGTAAGGGCATCACAGGAGGTAGTAGTTTTTTTTTTGAAGTTTGATGAAAAAGTATCCATTTAGTTTTTTCAACATTTAGTGACAGCTTATTCACTTTAAACCAGTCAGAAACTTTTGTTAATTCAATATTCATATTTTGGAATAATGTTGTTATGTTGTTATGAGCTAAAAAAAGATTTGTATCGTCGGCAAACATGACCGTCATTAAATTTGAGGCTTTAGGGAGATCATGAATGTAAATTAAAAAGAGAAGAGGTCCTAGTATAGAACCTTGAGGGACCCCACATGTTATATCTAATAAATTGGAAGAGACAGTTGTATTACTGTAAACAAACTGTTTACGGTTGCTTAAATAACTTTTAAGAATCATTAAGATATTCCCTTTAATTCCATAATACTCTATTTTTTTAAATAAGATTTTGTGGTCGATGGTATCAAAGGCTTTCGATAAATCTATGAAAACACCTAACGTATATTGAGATTTTTCAAAAGATTCAGCAATATTGCGGGTAGTTTGGAGTATAGCGTGTTCGGTTGAATTACTTTTTTTAAATCCGTATTGATATTGATACAGTATATTATTTGAAGATAAATGATTGAAAATTATATTATATAAAATTCTTTCTAAAATTTTGGAAAAAACAGGCAAAATCGAAATAGGGCGATAATTTGAAACATTGGTTGAATTCCCCCCTTTAAATATTGGTGAAACTCTGGCTATTTTTAAATTGTCGGGGAAAATACCCTCTTTTATTGAACATTTGAAAATTTGAAATAGAATATCTTTAATGACTCCATGCGAGTCGATAATAACATTGCAATAAATATCATCATAACCAACTGATTTATTAGATTTAAGCTTTTTAAAAGAAAGTTCAAATTCCTCAAAGGATAACTCAAAGGAGTTTAAGAACGAAGTTATTGGAAAAGCATAATTATTCAACTTGTTTTTCAAGATAGGAATTTGTTGGGCCAGATTAGGACCAACTGATACAAAATATTCATTTAATATGTTAGCTATTGCAATTTGATCAAATGATGTTTCTTCATTAATCTTAATAGTTTTAGGCAATGAGCTCGTTTTTAATTTCTGCATGCCAGTGAGTTCTCTTAGAATTTCCCACGTACGTTTCGAATTAAGATTATTTCTATCAAGCAAATTAGAATAGTAATTTTCTTTTTCTTTTATTTTCTGTCTTTCAAATTCTTTAGCGTATTTTTTATAGAGAACTTTATTTTGTTCAGTTTTTGTCTTTAAATATTTTACGTATAATTTTTGTTTAACTTTAGAGGATTTTTTTAGTTCTTTTGTGATCCAAGGTGACATTAAACTTTTAGCTTTTTTATTTACTATTTGTTTTGGAAAATTAGCATCGTATATTTCATAAAACGTTTTAAAAAACGTATTATAAACTAAATTAGCGTCAGCACAGGTATCTATTTGTTTCCAATGAAGATAAGATAATTGTTCTTTAAATGTTTTTAAATTATCATTAGAAAAAAAAACGTTTTTTAAAAGTTTGTTTTTGTTGAGATATTATATCTGCGTCGATATTAATAGAGAAAAAAATAGGGAAGTGGTCCGAGACGTCACTTTTAATGATGCCTTTTTTTAGAGATTTATTGAAAACATCAGTTGTTATAATATTGTCAATTAAGGTTTTTGATGTAGGAGTTATTCTTGTTGGTTTGTTAATTATGGGAAAAGCACCGAGTTCAAATAATTCGTTGTAAAATTTTTTAACGCCATAATTAGTGTGGTATTGGTAACAATCTAAATTAATGTCACCTATTAAGTAGTATAATTTATTTTCACAAATGCTTTTTTTTAAAATGTCATTTAAAAATAAATTAAAGTTTTCTATACTGCCCGAAGGTGGGCGATAACAAAAACTTATAATTAAATTTTTTTTTTTTTTATGTTTGGATTTCAACTGTTAAGACCTCATTATCGTCATCAGAATTGCTCATGTCAGGCCTGATAATATACTGCAAATATTCTCTAATATAAACTATTAAACCTCCGCCTCGCTTTCCATTTTTTCTATCCAAAGAAATTATATTGAAACCTGGTAAAAAAATACTTGAATTCAAATTAGAGTTATTAGAGTTACACCAGGTTTCAGACATGCAAATTAAACTAAAAATATTAAGAGATTCTTTCATCCTTAAATAGAAATTTTTAAAATTCTTTTATATGCTTCTTATATTAATATGAAAAGTGTTAAAATATCTACAGTTAAGAAACTCTTTTATTTCGTCGGCATAGTAATAGGAGCAGTTGCTTTGTAAAGCATGTGCTTCACAAAAGTAATTTAAGTCCGGATCTGATTGGTTATTAAATAAAAACTCATCAGTTCGGAAAAAATTATAACTTAATTTAAAGTCGTTTAAATTATTGGAATCCATTTTACCATTTTAGAAAACCATAAAATAAAAGAATTTCCTTTAATCGCGCGTTATTAACTTATTATATACAACCTTTGCATATTTACCTTTTATTCGTAAATCTTTTGCAGCCGTAAACAATTTCCTTCGCAATTCGGTTGTCCTTTCGCTGAAATCTTCGTTCACATATATTCTTTGATTCCAAAGTTTCGTCTTTATATATTTACCAAGCACTGTTGATTTGTCCTTAAAATTTTAAAATTTGACCACGATAGTTCTGCATTTTTTAATTGTATTATCTTTATCATTTTTTCCAACTCTATGAGCTCGTTCAATAATGAATTCACCTTGAAGATCAAGTTTTTTTTTTATTAATTCACGAACTTTACTTTCACAATCGTCCCAACTTTCATCGACTGATTCTTCTGTACCGGATATCCTTAAATTGTTTCTCCTACTTCGGTCTTCAATCTCAGCCAGTTTGTCTCTCAAATTAATGGTTAAACTCTTTTCTAGGTTTCTTTCTGGTTTTGCGCAATCAGCCTTCAATCCTTCTTGTTCAATTATTATTTTGTCGTATTTTTCGCTAATAAATTCGACAGCTTTTTTCAATTCGCTTACTTCAGTTTTAAGAATATTATTGTCTTCATTCAACTTATCAATCTGTTTTTCCAATCTTTCAAATTTTTCATTAAATATTTTCATCATTGTGTTCTCATGAATGTCTAATATTTCTTTAATTTGTGAAGCCGAAAATTTTTTCGCCATTTTTGATTTGTAATTAAAAACACGTCCGTTCGCGGTGAAACGTGAATTATAAGATAATTAAAATTCTTAATTTTGATCTAGCGATTTTAATGTACGCATCCCTTCAGCATCCTAAATTAAATTTTTCTTTTAAATGTTTATATTTAAACAAAACCGGACACGATTATACGTACTTTTGATTAAAACATGGTATTAAACTCGAATTTAAAACTTAAAATTAGATGCGGATTTTTTAAAATAAAAGTGCGCATCAATTTTAAGTTTTAAATTCGAGAAAAATACTCTAGCTATTTACACTACCAGATTTGCCGGCTGGCATTTTTAGAATAAATAGAAATCAAAAGAAACGAAAAGCTAGGTATCTTAACACTGGTGTCTACTGCAGTAAGATGTCGTGTCTTATGTTTTTTGATACTGAAGCTGACCTTCGAAACCATCATAATGAAAATGGCACAGCACCCAAAACAATCATATATCAATGGATTCAATTTTATTAAATCATGCTAATTTGCTTATATGTTGAATGAAAGATAAAAAAGGTATCAAATCATTTAGCCTTACTCAAAAACTTAGTCGACAACAAATTCTCTCTTCATTTTGCAGAATGTTCAAAAAATGCCTACTACATCGAATTTTGGGTTCAGCTATAGCGGACTGGCAGTTTTAAACAAAGATAAAGTAAACAAAGTTGAAATAAAAAAGAAATATCATAAAGCTGTTTTTGATGGTATGGAATGGAGAGTCCAATGGAAATGGAGAGACAGAGATGGACCCGACCAACTGTTTAACAAAATTGCCCAATACAGTACCAAAACATCCTGAAACGGAATACGAAAACGAACTTCAGGGTTGGATCAGGTTATGTTGGATATGGTTACTTAAGCATAACAAATACATAATGAGGCCGCCCAAAGGACAAATTTCATTAATGACTGTGATTCAAAGTAACAAAAATAATAAAGTCCGGCCTGTTTTGGATTGGAGAGAAGCTTACAACTTTATCGAGGCGTATAAAAGAGATGCAGAGGTATTGATAAATTGAGAGAATAAAGAAGTATGGAAACACACCAGCAATTATAGATCTACACGAGGCTTATCTCCTGCTGAAAACTGAAGAACACCTTTGGTTGTTTCAAACCGCGGTATTTCACAACAAGAGTATTGTTTAACACGACTTGGGTTTAGTTTAAATGTTGCGCCGATGATCATGAAATCTCTAGTGAACACTATCATTGATAAAGACGAGTTGGTTAAGCAAGGAACGTCCGCCTACGTGAATGAAGTATTTATCAATGAGAACATGGTAAATCTTAATTATGTCAAGAGACATCTTGAAAAAAAAGGTTTAGAGAGCAAAGAGGGTGAACAGATTGACAATAATGGGGCCCGTGTGTTTGGATTATGTGTACAAAAAGCTGGTAACAAACTGACAAGGTCAAGAGGGAATCGAGTTGAAGAAATCCCAATAAGTTAACCAGAAGAGTAGTGTTTTTAGTTTGCGGACGGTTGGTGGGTTATTTACCTGTGCGTTGTTGGTTAAGATTTGTTTGTAATCTGTTGAAAAGAAGAGTTTTCAGTTTGACGAAGAGTTTGGACGATGAAATTTGCGATGAAAATGTGAAATGTGCACTTCGAGAAGTTTATGATCAGGTTGAAAGTTGCGAGCCTGATTGTGGGAATTGGGATGTGGATGGCAACGAGGGAAAGGTGCGGGCTGATGCAAGTTCTTTAGCTATGGGTGCAATAGTTCAAATTGGTAATACGATTGTTAAAGATGCAGTCTAGCTGCGAATAGAAAAGTTGGGCATTCGTATAAAGCAATAATACGAGAAATAAATATGGCTTTAACGTGGAAACTGGAAAAAATGACAGTTTTTACAGACTCTGCAACAGAATTGAATTTCTGACGCACTTACTGGGAAATTAAGGTTGAAGTCAAAAGTCACTGGTGAAATATTAATTCGAAGAAGAATAAGCGTGCTGCAACAATTTATTAAAGAATACGACTGGAAAGTTGCATAAATCTTGTCCCATCGGAAGATAGTTTAGCTATTGCATTAACGAGAGTTCGCAGAAGATGGTCAAATAAGTTGACTGGAAATGAAATTCTATAGAATAATATTGGACTAGTAGTTGCGGAGCCTCAATCCATCTTGAGTATAAACAAGAAAACTAGACATTTTAAAGTGAGTAGAACATTGAAGTTTGTTTGTGAAGTACTTCCAAATGCAACTAAAAAGAAAGTTCAAATAGTATTAAAAAATTGCGAGCCGTTTCAGTCAATAGATCCAGCACCTGTTCAGTGGTCGAAAGGTACCTTGAATCTTAAATAAAATTGAGAAAGATTGGCCATGGATATTACGCCTTATGGAACTGAAAAAGTTCTGAGTCTACTTAATTGCTGACCTTCAAAATACGCTTTGTGGCAACAACTGTCGAGTTCATACGGAAGTGTTGCCATAATTCAAATTCCCCGTCTTATTTTTTGTGAACGAGAAGCACCATCCGAAATATTAGCAGATAATAAGGCCATCTTTAAGACTAAAGAAGTGAGGAATTTCCTTGAAAGTTGGGGAGTGCGTATCTCGCTTCGGGCTGCTTATTGCTCTGAGGGGGAAAAAAATTTTAATTACTGCTTATATAAACCCTTAAGGATCAAAGAGGAGTGTAATTATATTAAGTTAAATGTAAAAGTGTTTTATGGCTTGTAATTTAAGTGCGTTTATATTTGATAATTGCTGTTAATATGTTTGTACGGTTTTATATGTAATTGCTAATGTGTTCAAATGGTTAAGTTGAAATTGTAAATATATTTATATAGGTTGTAATGGTAATATTTGAGGTATATAATTTTGTATAAGTTATGATTATAATTTTGCAAGAGACAAGTTCTCATTGAGTAAAGAAAAGAAATCATCTTGACTTAATGTTATATTTCTGAGACAAAACTAAACTAATTAACACGTTAGTGTAAATTAGTTTAAATTAGTTCGGCACACGGCAGTTTGTAGTTGAAATAAGAAGTTTTGAAAATCAAATAAACTTTGTTGACCAAATAATAATAATACTAGATGATTATGATTTGCTTATCAGACTTATGGTTATATCGGATAAAACCTTTATTTGGCCATACCTTAAATAAGAATTTATTGAAGACAGGTGTAACACAACAAATACATATTGAGCATTTTGTTTTTAACATAGACGACATGGAAGTGATAAACAAATGCTATAGAGAATAAACTAATATTTATAGATTCAATTGTAGACTTCATAGTGTTTTTATAGATTTTTTTTACTTTCAAAAGTCTTTTTGAGATAAAGATATCTTCATTTAGGCAAAACTACCATTTTAAATTTCGTTTTTTAAACGAATTTATATTCTACACAGACAAAAGTCTTTTTATATATTGTAAATATATTTTCAAAAAACTGTAATTTAGTAGGTCGTTGGCATTAATCATTCGTTTTTCAAAGTTAGCATAAATTTTATCGTTTTTCAAACAATTGCGGTTTTAAAACATGATTTTCAGACTAAGATTGAGTTTTAAATCAGTTTGAGTGTATTTACAGTAAAAAAAACAGAAATTTTCTTTCTTAAAAAACATACTAATATAAGCCTTGATTAACCAGAGACTTGGCGCTCAAAATTACAGAATTTGCGTTATTGAACGCCCCTTGTGTAGTTTTGAGTAACGGGAAAAAGTATGTTGTAGATTTTTTAAAAACGTGATTTTTTTTCTTAATTTATAAAACTGGATATTATATTTGTTCATAAAAACTCAGTACTTCTACTCATTTCATACAACTTTTTTAACTGCATGAAGTTGCTACTTTAAAACGTGGAAAACTTAGAAAAATGACCAAGTCAACGTTTTATGAAACTTCAAACCGAAATAACTTTAAAACCGCTTTGAATTACAGTCTCAAGTTTTCAGGTTTTTCTTACAAATAACTTTAAAAAATCCCTAAAATTTTGAAAAAAATCCATTGACTCAGTAGTTTCAAATTGCTGATTTTGCCTCATTCTTATAAAAAACGACTCTTAAGACCTAACGTGACACACTTTTGAATTTTTTTTTATTAATAATTTGATATTTAAAACTAAGGAGTCCCTAAAACAAATTATTTAAGATTTTGAACTAATTAATCATAGGATAGCCCAACTTAAGTTCAAAAATTATTTTTTTATATACAATATTGAGATGGTCTAGTCTTTAGCCTATTATCCAAGCTATATGCATTATAATTTGAATTTTTTAACTGTATGCCAGTTCCTGTCGCTAAAGTAAACTAAAATGGATTTAAAAAAACGATTGTAGATACACAATAAAAAAATCGTTTAAGATTGTCTATCGAACATGTTGAAAATGAACAAATACAACTCTGTCGTTAAATTGCGTAACGATAATAACAATTTTAGCTAATAAAAATGCAAAAAAAAAGTGTTACCAATATTAAATTTAAAGAATTTGTTTATTATTCCTAATTAGTAAATGTGTTGCAAAAGTTTTATTTAATCCAGATTTTTTAAAAACATGGATGTAAATTAACATTATTAAAAAAAAACACAGTGATTACGATGTAGTGATTACCATGTATACCATGGATAGTAAATGCTTTTAATTTAAAGATATGCATGCTTTTTGGGGCGCCTATTTGCTACTATGTCCCGGAATATCATAAAAGCTCTCGGTGGCCAAGTCTTTTTAAATACTGAATTTTAAAAAAGCATTTTTAGTTTGAAGTTTGAAAATTGAGATTTGATATAACCAGAGCACCAAATTTGTATGGAGTAAAGCATTCTGCTAAAATAATCCTGCATCTTTTAAAAAAAACGCTTCAAGTTCAAAATGTATTTAATAATCAAAAACCTTTTACTACCCTTCTACTTTTTTTCGGTTAGAGCAATAACATCAGTTTTCACCATGTCTAATAACATCTGTCCAACAACATCTGAAATTATATTGGTGTCTAATAACCCTGATGAAAAAAAAAATAACTTGCGTTTTTTTATTTTATTAAACAAATCATTTTTATTTTAAATTTCAGAATGTTATGTCAAAGATCTTCATTTCCAGTTTTTTCTCATCTACCTAACTTGCAATTTTTGTAATCGTTGGTAGTTTTCCACCTTTTAACGCGGTAGATTTACAGTTGCAAGCGTTGGACACTAAATAAAATGAAAACTCAATTAGGAACTTGTTTAAAGAGTAATATATGTATTTACAAGACAAACAATTAAAATATTATTGAAATGTATATATATATATATAAATATATATATATATATATATATATATATATATATATATATATATATATATATATATTTATATATATATATATATATATAATAATAATAATAATATATATATATATATATATATATATATATATATATATATATATATTCTACTCATTTCAAACAACTTTTATATATATAATTTAGATAAAGAGTTCTATCAAAACATAGAAAATAATATTTTTTGGAAATGCATGTACCTAAATGCAACATCTTTGGAAAATAAATTTGATGAATTTACGGTTGTTATCAATACAAATTGTCCATATATAATTGGAGTTACCGAGACTTGGTTTAAAAGTGTCTCAATAGTCAATATTCAGGGGTATAACATTTATAGGAGATAGATGTGATGGTCGAAGAGGAGGTGGTGTATGTCTATATGTAAAAAGTTCGATTGATTCATATGAGCTAAACAATATTCAATTTAGTCAGAGCAAAATTAAACAAATCTGGGTTGTACTGTTTTTTGGTAAAGATAAATATTTAGTTGGTTGCCTCTATAGACCAAATAATTTTATTGATATGGCTTCTTTTGATTTAGTTTTTAAAGAAGCTAGAAATTATGTGGATAAAAAAGGGTTTAAAGATGTTTTAGTTATGGGAGATTTTAATTTTCCTTTAAAAAATTGGTCTAATGGAAATGTATCTTCTATTAATAACAATTTAGGCATTGATTTTATCTTCAGTAACACGTTAATTGACACTTTTCTATATCAGCATGTAAACACTCCAACTTTCCAAGTCTCAAATGAAATAGCAGTTAATATATTGGATTTAATTTTTACGACTGAATCTGGAAATGTATGTGCAATAGATACACAGTTTGTGCTTGGTAATACTATTAAAGGACACTTGGTAATATTTTTTAATTACTTTCTTAAAAATAAAATGAAACTTCTACCTGTGAACTGTTATAAATTTGTTTACAAAAAAGCAAATTACGAAAAAATTTCTCAATTTATTTCAAATGTTGACCGGGTACAACTGTACAAAAATATGTTAGTTCAGGATATGTATAATGAATTGATTTATTACTCCAACATTGCAAGCAATTTATTTATTCCCACTACTGGTGTTTCACAAATTAGAAGTATGGAAACTCCTTGGATAAATAAAGAACTTAAATACCTGATTAGGAAAAAGAAAAATTTGAGATACAGAAACTGTGCTTGAAAATGGAGAGATGCTAATTTGAGTAAAGATTATAAAATACTATGTCGGATTATAAAATCTGAAGTGAAGTGTTCTCGAATAAGTTATGAACAAGACTTAATTAAAAAAGCTAAGAAAAATCCAAAATTGCTATATAAATATATTAACAACCAGTTAGTGGTAAAAGATTCAATAAAAGCTTTACGAAAAGACGATGGATATATTTCACAAGATCAAGTTGAAATCGCTAATATTTTAAACAAATGTTTTCAAGATGTATTTGTTATTGAACCTGATGGTGCCCTACCTAAGTTTGAGTCAAGATTTAGCGATTATGCTACAAATTTTTCTGATATATCTCAAGACAAAATCAATTATAATGATGCTTTGAAGAGGCTTCAGAGTCTTAACGAAAATAAGGTGTTCGGACCTGATAAACTCCATTCTGCCATGCTAAAGAATGCTTCAGAGGCGTTTGCACTTCCTTTAACATTTATCTTCAGAGAATCATTAGCTTCAAGCCAACTTCCAATTCAATTTAGATCTGCAAATATGACTCCTCTTTTCAAAAAAGGTGACAAGGCAGTTGCAGCTAATAATAGACCAATTTCCCTCACGTCAGTTGTGTGCAAAATAATTGAAGGTATTATTCTTAACAAAATTGAAACTTATTTTTACAAAAATAATTTGCTAACAGAGCATCAGCATGGATTCATAAAGAATAAATCGTGCACAACAAATCTCTTAGAAACAATTGATTTTATAACGTTAAACATCGAAAATCATACTCCAGTTGATGTTGTTCTACTAGATTTTGAAAAGGCCTTTGATACAGTTCCTCATAACAGACTGTTACTAAAACTAAGAGCTTATGGTATTGATGGATTAGTACTGAAATGGATTGCATCTTTTCTCACAAATAGGAGACAGAGAGCAGTTAAGGGTGACATTGTCTCTAATAAAGGTTGAAGTATTTAGTGGTGTGCCACAGGGTTCATTCCTTTTGTTGTCGCTATAAAAATGATTTTCGAGACACAATTAAAAATGTTTAAAAGTTATATGCTGATGATACCAAAATTTTATCAATAGTAAATTCAGATTTGTGTCTCAAAGAAATCCAGAATGACTTGAATAAAGCAATTGAATGGACTCAAGACTGGTTGCTGAAATTCAACATAAACAAGTGTGGTGTCATGCATTTTTTCTCAACTAATAAAACTTATCCACTTTTCATTAATGGTATACAACTTCATGATTCTAAGTCTGAACGAGATCTTGGAGTTATATTTCTGACAAATCTTAAATGGAAAGATTAAGTAACTATGGCAATTGGAAAAGCAAATCAAATGCTGGGGCGAATAAAGAAATCGTTTGCAAGCTTTGATTGTCAACTTATGAAATCTCTTTATTTAATATTCATTCGTCCACTTCTTGAATTTGCAGTTCCAGTTTGGTCTCCTTATATGAAAAGAGATTGTAATGCGATTGAGAAAATACAACACAGAGCAACTAAAATTGTTTCATCAATTTGCAACCTCAAATATGAAGATTGACTTATTGCTTTAGGCTTAACAACCTTAACTGAGAGAAGAAAAAGGGGAGATTTGATAACACTATACAAACTTATGCATGGTATTGGAAAACAAACATAAGAAAGTCTTTTCTACTTGTTAAAAATTCTTTAAGAGGGCATTGTTTTAAATACCACAAAGAACTCGCTAAACATCCTTCGAGGAAACATTTTCTTTTTAACAGAATTGCGAATACATGGAATTTACTTCCGATTGAAATTGTAACAGCAAAGTGTGTTAATTGTTTTAAAAGAAGTCTTGATTGCTGGCTGAACAGCAATCAAGCATAACTGCTGTCATAGTGTGTGCGACATCACACTCACTGGATTTGTCCAGTACAGCATTAACTACTATTACTATTATATATATACATATGTATATATATATATACATATGTATACATAAATATATATATATATATATATATATATATATATATATATATATATATATATATATATATATATATATATATATATATATATATATATATATATATATATATATATATATATATATATATATATACAATATATATACATACATATATATATATATACATATATATATAAATATATATATATATATATATATATATATATATATATATATATATATATATATATATATATAAACATATATATATATATAAATATATATACATATATATATATATACATATATATATATATATATATATATATATATATATATATATATATATATATATATATATATATATATATATATATATATATATATATCACTGTTAGATCCCGGCACATTTGGTGTTTAAGATGTCTAACTTCTAGAAATTGAGCAAACACTAAACATTTGTATATTCATACTTATGTCAAATATTAAGGCTTTGCAAAATATTGCGGTGATTGGACTGCAAAATTGCAAATTTGCAAATTGCAAAATATTGCGGTGATTTATTACTTGAAAAAGTGAGTAATATTTGTGGCCCAGCATTTCAAATATTTAAGAAAATATATATCTATACTTTTGTTTGAAAAGGTTCTTTGAGATTAAGTAATTGACTAGAGTAAAAAAACTTTAAGATTTTAAATATAGTTTAAGTTCTTTTATGTGACATACATGTCTGCAAGAAATAGGTACTGAACTTAAAAATAAATAAAAAATTTTCACAAATATGAAATAAGGTTAAAGGGCAAGATTTGTTTAGAAATCCTGTAATAAAGGGTATTTTTGCACAAAAAAAAAAAATTACTACACAAAAAATCACAAAAAAATTACTACACAAAAAATCACAAAAAAAAAAAATTACTCTGCACAAAAAAAAAATTACTAAAAAGCAATAAATTAACTTATAATTATATTTTCAAAGTTGTTGCGTCGCAGAACACATCAACGGGAGAATAGCCTTTTATAAAATAGTGTAAGAACAAATCAGGAAAGTTGAATTCGCAGATTAAAATTCAAACTTTGTTTTTCAGTCAATTAAGTTTTTCATATCGTTTAGTATTACCGGAAAATATTTTTGAAATATTAGTTTGTTTACGTTTTCATTGTTCTTAAAAAATAGACTACGGTTTTTCAGCTTTATGAAAATGTCTCAAAGTTCTGATAAAAAGAAAAAATGTTCAGTGTGAGATCAAAGAGATATAAAAAAAAATTGAGCGCTGATTTGAATTAATAAGCAGCTTATTCTGCTAAAGCAAAACTATGAGTTGTAAAAAGTCATGCTCTAAAATAAAACTTATAAATCCATCTAAAAGGCTAAACTAATCTTTAAAAAACGTTCAATAAAGAGGAAATGAACTTAAAAAAAGTTATTGAAACACTGCCATATGAAAAGAGAAAAAAAGCAGCAGTTTCTTTTATAATATTAATAGTTCAGCTTGTAAAGAAAATTCGGACTTTCTGAAAGTGATATTTTATCAGTTGTAAACTTTTATAATAATGATGAATTTTCCCTAAAATCACCCAACAAAAAAGATTTCATACAGATTCAATTGCCTGACGAAAAAACAAACAATGTTCCAATGAGTCATTTATATCATGCGCTAAAAGAGGTTTTGCTGTTGCTCAAGAAAAGACATCAGTACATCAAAATTAGAATGAGCAAATTATGTGAGCTAAGTCCACACAATATGAAATTTCTAACAAAATTTCCACATGGTGTTTGTGTTTTTAGTTTGCATAAAAATATGCAATTTGCTTTAGATACATTAGATAAATTGATTTAAGTGTCTTCAATCTAAGTTGGATCTGAAATAATAAAAATATTTATTAGTGAATCTTACTTATGATTAAACTTATAACAAATGTACTGCATGCAAAGGTATGAAAACGTTTGAGGAACACTTGCAGTGGCGTAGATAGGGTTTCAGGCGCCCATGGCAATACTGAAAATTGGCGCTCCCCTGAAGCAGACATAAAAGAAAAACAATTATTGTTTCCAAGTATATGTCAATTTTATTTTAAAAAATGCAAATGCTAATCATAATGCAAACTCAATTTAATTCATGTTTCTAATTACGTATCCATTATTGTTCATGTGAATTAGTCAATCAAAATGACAGATTGTCAATCAAATCCAATAATCAATAACTATTTTTAAATTATAATTTGATCTTTATAGCTTTAACTGCAGCAAATTTATCTATTATGTCGTCAAAGTCTATTGATTCTGGAGTTTATCTTTTGGCACAAAGAATTGCCAAATCAACAAGACGTTGCTGCCCCATTGAAGCTCGTAGATATAAAAGAATAAACTTCAACTTGCTAAAGGAACGTTAGCAACTGGCTAACGATTCTGCAATTGTGAGCAAGATTTGTAATGCAATGCGTAAGTTAGGAAAATTGTCATCTCCGTATGACGAAATAAATGAAAGTAAATTCAGCGGAATTGATGATATTGGGCCCCCACGAGATTTAAACAGCCACGAGTTTTTTTTCTTTTGTGAATGTGTAATGTTGTAAAAACTAAAAAAAACATAATATGTCGCAACATAAATCACTTGAACCAACTGGACAAGGACAATGTGATTAAAATGACACACCATTAACGAATAAAATAACTGCAGGTCTGGCATTTTGTTCATAGGATTTATTTACAATTGTTTAAACAAAAGTGTTACTCAAGTCAGCTTGAAAATCTCTAACGTATACTATTTTTCTGCTTTGAAGTATACATACAGCTTATTCTTTGTGGCCAATACTTACCTAGATTTTATGCACTAATTTTTTTCAAATATCTTTTGGTCAACAAATGGCATTTTAGAGTATTCTATATTCTATTTTACAGAATTCGGTGTTATTGTCGAAGGATCTATACTGCCCTCAAATTCAAAATTTTTATCAGCCCTGCAATTGATTTTTTTGAGCAAATTCGGATATCTATTAAACTTTTAAATTCAATTAAGAAATACATCCTTTGTGCCTGAAGTAGGCAGTTGCAGATTTTTAACCATGAGGTAGCTTTTTCTAATGTGAATTAATCAATTTTGCATGTTTTTTAATTATAAAAAAAATTTATTATGATGAAATATGAAGTTGTTTGACGAATATTGTTTATATAGCTGTTTGAACATATAGTGAGCTTGAATAAAATGTCCCCTCAAGTAAATATTAATTACCAGATCTGACGCGGTTTGAACACGGCTAATACATACAGGTGTTTTCACGATTTTTCATCAATTTAAAAAAAAGTTGTCTTTATATAGAATTTTCTTATATTTTAAAAATAAAAAAGTCCTTTAGAAAAAAAGTGGGAGGACGTGCCCTTTGGCCCCCCAGTGTTGTCGGCCCTAATCAAGATGAAGAAAGAGAGGTCATAAGAGAGGTCAGGGTCATAAAAGGGAGGTCAGGGTCATAAGCTTAATAGCTTATAACCCTGAAGGTTTTTAGATTTTACTTTGAATCAATTGATATAACTATTTATTTATATAACATTTTTCTATTTTTCTTAACAAGATAGTTAACTTCTGTATGACACTTAAACAATTAATCAAAACTCATGATGAACTTAGCTAATTGCTTCTAATACATTGAGGGGGCGAATGAACAAGCGCAAATTTTATAAGTGCGAACTGGCATAAGTGCGAATGGCGTAAGCGCGAACTAGCATAAGCGCGAATTGGCATAAGTGCGCCGAACAAATTTGCAAACATTGGTATAAGTGCAAATTGGCATATATGCAAACTCGCATAGGTGCAAATCAATTACAAAAACTAGCACAAGTGAGAATAGGCGTAACTGCAAATTGGCATAAGTGCACCAAATAAATTTGCAAACAATGGCATAAGTGCAAACTGGCATAAGTGCGAATGGTCTAAGCGCGAACTAGCATAAGCGCGAATTGGCATAAGTGCGAATTGGCATAAAAGCGCCGAACAAATTTGCAAACATTGGTATAAATGCAAATTGGCATATATGCGAATCAGTTACAAAAACTGACACAAGTGAGAACTGGCGTAACTGCGAATTGGCATAAGTACGCCAAATAAATTTGCAAACAATGGCATAAGTGTGAACTGGCATAAGTGCGAATTGGCATAAGTGCGAAATACTAGTTTGCAGTTATGCGTTATTTGAAATTTTATTTGGCGCACTTATGCCAATTTGCAGTTATGCCAGTTCGCATTTGTGCCAGTTTTTGTAACTGATTCGTACTTACGCCAGTTCGCATATATGTCGATTCGCACTTATGCCAATGTTTGCAAATTTGTTCAGCCAATTCTTCCTTAGGCTAGGTCACATTGATGCCAGATTTTGCAACTGCTTTGCACTTATGCCAGTTCGCATTTATGCCAATTCGCACTTGTGCCAATGTTTGCAAAATTTTTTGGCGCACTTATACCAATTTGCACATTTGCCTCCACGGCTTCTAAAGGGGGCTGTTTTAGGGTAATTTTTGACACATTAGTTGTGTATGCTGCGGAAGACGATTCTACGAATAAAATAAGAGGAGGGGGTGAATCCTCAAAAATGTACAGACAAGCTTCTAAAAAACAAAAAAATAAAAAAAAGGTCCTCGAAACGCTCACCCCCCACACCCACCTGTAAAATCGCCTCTGTATGCTGCATCTCCTTGGTGCTTCAACTTTATAATTTTAACTTTATAATTTTGCTTTTATGATTTCTCTAACATTTTACAAGAAAACACTGAAAGTTTGAGTCTTCTGACTATTTGAGGTTTCGCAACCCTAAACTTAGGTCAATATGTAAAACTCAGATTTTTTTTAATGTTTTATACAATTTTTTAATACTACATAAAAATTTAATATTGTTTGTTTAATATAAACAGTTTTACAATTTTGACCATACAACCAGATTAAATTGTATTATCGGTTAACTCTTATTGTGTTTAAGCCAGTTGGATAACTTTTATTGAACCGTTTTATATAGCATTACTTTTTTAACAAAGATTTTAGGTTTGAATATATATATATATATATATATATATATATATATATATATATATATATATATATATATATATATATATATATATTAGAGAGATTCTTATAAAAAATAAATTTAACAAAAATATTAAAAATTACTTACTACAATAAGCTCCAGTTCCAGCTGGACAACAAAAATAGTTTTCATTTGCATAATGAAGGTCTAAATCAAAAAAAAAGTTTTATCAAAAGTAACAATTTTTAAAAGCCTAATTTTAATGAAATAGAAACAATTTAAAAAACCCTTTAATATAATTAGTATACTATGAGGAAAATGATGCCAATTCGTTTACCAATTAATTTGATTTGTTTTATATTCTCTGGTGTGACTAACAATTATTTTTTAAATAATAACAACAACAACAACAAAAAACTAATCCATTTTTTGTTTTGAAAAGAAAAGCCTACCAGATAGAGAAGCTATACATTTAATGTTTTTTTTAATCCATTATAGCAACTTAGTTGTATAACTGTATTTTTGTTAATTCGTAAAAATAAGTTAAAAAATTAGGAAATGTATAAAATATTAGTAAAATTATATAAAAAAAAGTATAATTATTAAATGAATCAACTTTATTATTTTCTTTTAATTTTTTGAAGTGACAACAAGGATTACTTGTTAAAAAAAAAATCAAAAAAGATGATGAATTCATCCTGTCATGACGTTGTTATTTTGAACTGTATACAGTTTCAAATCATTTTTACCTATAAAGTTTGTAGTTACAGCTATGCAAACAATCTAATATGCCTTACACATTCTTTAGAAAAAGCAATTAAAACATATTCTAGATTGAAAATTTAGACTCTAGTAAAAAAAGATGGAATACATATATTATATACATACCATATGAATGTTTTTCATACACGGAATGCGTAGATTAGACCTGCGACAAACAAAGGGTTATACTAATAAGGGGTTACTAATATAAATTTTCAGTGAAATATCCGGAATTTTTATTTTTTCTTCTTCATAGATCACAAATTTAAATATAATTAATTATATTTAATATAACTTGCCTTAGTATTTTACGTTTTTCCAAATAAAAATGTAAATAATTAACCAAAATAATGTTACATTCATTACAAAATGACGGCTTTAACGCCAACATCAATTGGCCGCTATTTTTCATTTACAGGCTTTATTCGCTTACTAATATAAAGAGTATTATTTCATAAACAAGCAATAGCTATAACATGTAATAAACAATATTTGTATGTTTCTTTTATATAGGCTAAAAAGATTTATAACGTGTTTATTGCATATCAAGGTTAATTCATTTTAAAAAATTTTAATTAATTCATTCAAAAATTAATAAAATTGTTTTCTTGTTCTTCTCTTACTTTTCAAATCAAGTTTTTTTAATTATGTTTTAAATACTTTTATTTATTTTATGATTTAAAATATTTTGAATGCAATTTTACTGTTTGAAATAAAAAAATTTAAAGCCCATATAATTTAATCGCTTCGAAAATTATATTTTAAAACCATAAGCGGAGGATTACATTAACTCGCCTTTAAATATTTTTAAAATATTGTTTTAAAATTTTTTAAAATATTAATATTTTTATTCATATTTGAATCCAATTGTATTTATTCCATATTTCATCAACGTGAATTCTAGTTAAGCATTCTGATTGACTTAAAATGCATTTATTATGTGTTTTAAAAGTCGTTTTCCAATGTTGGTTTTTCTAAGCGACATTAATAACATTACAAATTTTATCATCATAATTATCATAAACTCACTTACTAATGGGTTATATATATGCTATTCATTTGATTCTAGTAAATGTTTCATTTTTCACGCTAACAAATTTCTTAACAAAGCCCCTTTTTTTTGTTGATGCTACTTAGGACCCCACTTTGATTTTGAAATAGTAAAGTAGCTACATCCCAGCGGGCACAGACGTCAATCAAACGTCTTAACTAGGTCCTGACGTCTAAGACCAAATTAGGACGTCCTAAAGACGTCCGTTAAAGACGTCTTTGTTCGGACGACATTGTGACATTAATATAAAGACGATATTAGGACTTCCATATTTAGACGTTTTATTGACGTCACCAAGACCTACATTAGACGTCCTAATTACCTTAGAAATAAGAATAAAAATTAATATTATCAACTTGGCGCATACAATATTATGCGCTAACTCGGTTAATTAAATATGTCTACTTGCTTTGGTTGATTATTTTGAGATTATTAATTTTGTTTAGTTATTTATCGTTTAAAGATATTTTTTCTAATTTTCTATATTCTATACTCCATGATCTATAAACTATAATCGATACAATGTTTATAGAAAAGAAAATTGAGTTTAGTTATTAAGTGTAACTTAATAACTAAACTCAATTTTCAAAGTTACAAGTATAATGAGGGAATTTTAACAAAAGACATCAAAATTGCACCAAGACTTTTTACTTTGTGTTTTATAGAATAGTAATAATATTTTGTGTGTCTGTGTTATATATATATATATATATATATATATATATATATATATATATATATATATATATATATATATATATATATATATATATACATATATAATATATATATATATATATATATATATATATATATATATATATATACAAGGGTTGAATTAACGCATCGCGATTTGCGATATCTGTTAAATTATCTGGTCTTCAAAGTTTCAGTTTATGAAAAACCACGAAGTTTACGGAATAGACGAATTAACTTTAATTTGTTAGTGAAAATGTTATGAAAAACAAAACAATAAATTTGTGACTACAAAAGTAATAATACTACAGTGTTGTTACTTTTATAACACTCTTTTATGTTACATTTATAGTTTATTGTTTGATCAAACAACACATAATCAAGATATTATAAATAAAAATGATTTAGTTAAGTAATTCCAAACTTTAATTAAAGTAGTAATGCATCTAGAAAAAATATAATGGATATTTAAACAATGTTAAAAACCTCAGCAACTTTTACGAATACATATTTTTATAAACAGTTTAGCATTTCTAAACATCTTTCAAACGGTCCGGAAAAATGCGCGTTCACTTTAAAATCAACCAATGAAAACACTGGTAATTTACTTCTTAGGAGAAATCTATATTAAAAGGGGAGGGGGGAGGCTAAAAACTTAAATTTTGTTTTATTATTTAATCAACTAAATCATAATAAAAGTAAAGACAAAAAAATATATTTCTAAGTATACTTCTTTATAACTAAAATTTATTAAATTGAACACCTCTGTTTTTAGTTTTAAGTAAATGCCAGTACTACTCTCAGTGGCGAAACTGCGGGGGTTGGGGGGGGGGACGGTTAGCAGACAAAAAGTATTTTTTTTTTAATAAATTTTTAAGTCTTATTTTTAAACTAATTTTAGGTTGCATGGGCGATATGGGGCTCATTTTGAAAATCGTGCGGGGGGGGGGGGGGATTTTGCTACTGACTACTCTAATGTGCTTAATACAAAGGTAGGTGGGGGTGAGAATTTTAGTCAGGATGTATAAAATGGGAGGAGGAAATTATAAAAAAAAGCGGGAAAATTTACAATGAAAGTTTTATTATTTATCGGTTACCAATATATATTTTTTTTAATTTTAAGGCCAATTTTCACTGAATTTTTGTTTTGAGATATAGTTTTTTGTTTATAACAAGTGACTTGCTATAAACAAATAACACGATTTTCAAAATGAGCCCCATATCGCCCATGCAACCTAAAATTAGTTTAAAATCAGGACACTTTTTGTCTGTTAAACCCCCCCCCACCCTCCCCGCAGTTTCGCCACTGAGAGTAGTACTGACATTTACTTAAAACTAAAAACAGAGGTGTTTAATTTAATAAATTTTAGTTATAAAGAAGTATATTTAGAAATATATTTTTTTGTCTTTACTTTTATTATGATTTAATTGATTAAATAATAAAACAAAATTTAAGTTTTTAGCCTCCCCTCCCCCTCCCCTTTTAATATAGATTTCTCCTAAGAAGTAAATTACCAGTGTTTTTATTGGTTGATTTTAAAGTAAACGCGCGTTTTTTCCGGACCGTTAGTAAGATGTTTAGAAATGCTAAACTGTTTATAAAAATATGTATTCGTAAAAGTTGTTGAGGTTTTTAACATTGTTTAAATATCCATTGTATTTTTTTTAGATGCATTACTACTTTAATTAAAGTTTGGAATTACTTAACTAAATCATTTTTATTTATAATATCTTGATTATGTGTTGTTTGATCAAACAATAAACTATAAATGTAACTTAAAAGAGTGTTATAAAAGTAACAACACTGTAGCGTTATTACTTTTGTAGTCATAAATTTATTGTTTTGTTTTTCATAACATTTTCACTAACAAATTAAAGTTTATTCGCCTATTCCGTAAAATTCGTGGTTTTTCATAAACTGAAACTTTGAAGACCAGATAATTTAACAGATATCGCAATTCGCCATGCGTTAATTCAACCCTTGATATATATATATATATATATATATATATATATATATATATATATATATATATATATATATATATATATATATATATATATATATATATATATATATATATATATATATATATATATATATATATATATATATATATATATATATATATATATATATATATATATATATATATATATATATATATATATATATATATATATATATATATATATATATATATATATATATATATATATATATGTATATATATATATATATATATATATATATATATAATATATAATATATATATATATATATATATATATATATATATATATATATATATATATATATATATATATATATATATATATATAATGAATATGTATGCATCATATAAAAATTATAATATAATGTATAAATCGTGTATATATAAATAACTATACATCAAATTAAATGAAACAACACAGTAACTAGGTGTCAACATAATAATAATCTTAATAATTATTTAAAATTTAACGAAACAACACAGGTAGCAATTCTTTACAGTTTTTTGCGTTAGACAAAAACCTTATAATTTTTTTGAACTTTACTTGTTTATATTTTCTCTTAAGGTTAAGCATGAAACTTGAGATTTTTTGCATTATTCAGTTTAAATCTAACTCTTATCAACCATATATAGGAAGTACTATTTACTACTTTATATACTATTTATATGGCTTTACTTATACATTTTTTAAAGTTTCAGAAATTTATATTCCAACTTGCTGAAATGAAAAAAAATTTTATTAGATAGAACTGCACTGTTCTTTAATAATCCAGAAGAAGGTTTTAAACAACGTAAAAGTTCAGATAAACTTAATGTTTTAAAAAAAAAAATCGCAAATGGAGATATCCAATACATCACTTTTGTATACATGAGTTTCATCTTTAAATTTTGTATGTTATATATTATTACAATATTTATTTTAAATTGTCATAAACATTTTCAATGTTTCTTATACATTGTTTCTTTTTAGATAAAACAGTTATCATTAATTGGCGACAAAAATCTAGCTGATACAATTAAAAATATTTTGCTCTTGTAAGTAATTAGCAAAAGTTTGAATTTTAACATTTATGATTGACAGTAGAGAATTTATCTTCTTTTTTATATATGTAGACTGCCAACAGACACTATTTTGTCAGAATATGTATTCTTTAGACAATTCATGCTATACAGCATGAATCGTCTAAAGAAGAAAAAAAAAGTTTAAAGAGTTGACAAGTCTATGTAACTCTGTCACTGGTATTCTTATTAGCTTATTAATGTGTTTGATTAATTAAAAAATAAAAATGATGTTTTAATTTAAAAAAAAATAATAATTTTTTTGGCTCTGGAATATGACATGTATTCAAGTGTATGACATATATATTTTATTTTATGATCTTATTGAAACATGTTTTATTGTTTTTATTAAAAGCTGCTTTAAAGTCAAATAATAACTTAACCAAAATGGATGCTATCCAAATTATTGGGAGAGTAATTAGGCATTCTTCTGACCAAATAAAGAAAACATCGACTAATATGGATTTCGATCAATGTTGGCTTAATTAACTGTTGTATTTTTTATTTATTTTTTCCATTTTTAAGCAATTTTCTTCTATTTATAATGCACTATCGATTATATTCTACAGTACCTATTAGTTTTTAATTTGAAAAATGTAACTTTGTTTGAAAAAATATGCTTATTTTTTGTAAAGTTATTAATTTATTTTAAATGTATCAAATTACACTTTATTTAGATTGATTTCTTTTTATAACTTCCCTTACCTAGATTAAGGCAAATCTAAAGTGTGTGTTGTAAATCATTGCATTTTTATATAACTTTTAAAAGAATGTCTTGGTAAAATTCAAACTTCTCTAGGACGTCTGAAAAAGACGTCATTAAGTCTTTCATATGAGACCAGCCAGAGACGTCTCTAGAACGTCTGCAAAAAACGTCTCTAGGACGTCTTGAAAAAACGTCTTTAGGACGTCTGAAATAGACGTCCTCAAGCCTTTCATTTGAAACCAACTAAGGATGTCTTACGGACGAGACTTAAGACGTCTTACGGACGTCCTTAGGACGTCAAAATGCCCGCTGGGATTAGTCAAACAATTTCTAACAGCAGCCTTTATTTGAAAAAAGAGTTGCAGTAACATGATAACATGATTGCCGTAAACCAGCTAAACAAGTACCAATTTTGACCAACTAATCAGAACTTTGTCGACTGCTAACTAACTAGTACTGAACTTGAAGAAGTCAGTCAGTTCAAAAACTATCAAAAAGCCTTCTTTTGTACTCACAAAAAACTCATGGTTTACTTTTCAATTGTTTTAAGAGGCATAATATTGTTTTTTATTGCACAACTAACTTGAACTGTATTAAACTTTTTTTGTATATCTTGAAGCAATAAGGTAAATAAGTCCTTAATTATTTAATTTTTATGCCATATATAATATCATAACCCAGTTGGGTTATGTAGGTTCATGTTTGATTTAAAGGTGCTTGACTTTGTTTATATTTACCTATTTATAATTATTTTACTCAAAAAATAAATTTGATTTATTTCTCTACTAAATTCAATCGTTATTTCCCTGCTAAAGTAAATTTAGTCTTTTAATTAAACTGGTGTATTGTTTCAATATATATTTTACTTTTGATTATGGTTTTGAGTATTAGCTTTCAAACTATTATCATGACTCTTACTTTTTATTTGTCAAATCCGAACTTCTTGCAAAATTTACTAAATCTGCTTGTTGTTTGTGATACTAAAATAAATTGTTTACCGCTGATACCACTGTTCTATCATTGGATCACAATGTTAATGCTAATAGACAAATACTTGACTAGACTAATACATAGTCATATTATTTGTAAATAAAACTTAAACATTTTTTATTTAGCGCTACCTTACTTAATCATCTTTCACTGTTATTTAGCGTTACCTTAATTATTCATCTTTCTCTGTTATTTAGCATTACCTTACTTAGTCATCTTTCTCAAAACAAAAAATTTAAATTTTTAAAAGTTTTTTTACCTGGATAACCAATAGGACAACAAGTAAAGCCAACAAAGTTAGTCCCTTCTGTTTGCTGATCAGTATAATCTTTTCGTCCTTTCAACTCAGTTCCACTGGGGCACTAAACAAAAAAAAAATTTAACAATAAATCTGATTGAGATTGCTGAAAACAAAAAATGTAAGACCCATCCCTCCCCCGATTTTTTAATTTTAAATGTTATTATAAGATTATTAATATGAGATAATTTATTACAGTTAATAAATAGAGATTCGCACTTCTCTTAAACAAATTTCACAGCAGTTATAAATATTGATTTTTAAAGTTAATAAATATAGTTTGAAAAAATGGTAATATAAAATGTTTTATAAGTAGAAATTGCTTAAACTGAAGAGAAAAATTAAAAAAATTTGGTGACACCAATTAACAATCAGATTAATGCATTTGTAATTGTAATAAGTTGTCATAGTCATAGATTATTTTGATGTTAATGGAGCAACTGTAAATGTCATGGTAAAATCGTTGAGTAATTGGAAATTACCTTTAAAAAATACAAACATTTTTACACGTGAGATAGGATAGTTAGTGGAACAAAACCCTCCAAAGTTTTAAGCAAAAGTCTTTTTAGTGCTGTTTTACTTATTCAAAGTAGTGTTTTATAAAATTCCCAAACAAAACCTTACACTTAAATCAACTTTCTGCGCAAGATTTTTTTTTGGTTTTGGTTTTGGTTTTTAACATTAAAAGCATATATTTATTATATTTAACTTTAAAACCTATTGAGAAACATATTAAATTTTAAAACTTTTTAATCATAGACCATTATATCAACTTAGCTATATATAAGTAAATTTTTAATGATGCCTAAATTTAACTGCAGTGAAATAATAATTAAAATAGTAGTAAAGTATTTTATATATAAACCATTAAAATATTTTGAATATTTTGAAAAAAAAAAAAAAGTTTATAAAAGTATATTAAAATAACCTCAACTCAGTTTTTATAAAAACGAGGTAGAGGTTGAGGTTATTTCAATATACTTTTAAAAGGTTTTTAAGTTTTTTTTTCATCACATTATTTTTATTATTCTAAACTTTAATATTACTCAAAATAAATAGAAATATTGGCATAAGTTGACTTCTTGGGATACCTTAACAACTGCATCAAAAAAAAAAAAAAAAAAAAAAAAAATTGAGACAAATTTTTTATCAACCTTATTGAAATAAATTATTAGAAAAAATTGTATCCGCAAAGGCAGTAAGTTCTTTTAAAACTAGGCTAGGTAGATATTTTGTTAACAGTTGTTGCTGTTAAATGCTCTGCGACTTGTTACCGTAGTTTGTAATTACTACTACTTTTAGCATTGATAAAACATTAATTAAACTTTAATAAAATTTAGTTTGTGAACTAAATCTTCTGTAAATCAAAAACTCCTAACAGTATTGTAAAACTTTTATATATATATATATATATATATATATATATATATATATATATATATATATATATATATATATATATATATATATATATATATATATATATATATATATATATATATATATATATATATATATATATATGTATATATATATATATATATATATATATATATATATAAATATATATATATATATATATATATATATATATATATATATATATATATATATATATATATATATATATATATATATATATATATATATATATATATATATATATATATATATATATATATATATATAAACAAAGGTTATAAATAAGAAAGAAGTTTTGCTACGAAAAGGCAAAACAAAATTGGTGTTATGTATATATGCTACAAAGAACATTTTATACTGCAGAGTTTATTTTTAAATGAATTAGATTGCTACATTTATTAGTGAGGAACCAATTATCTTATCCAATTTTCTCGTTCTCTGCAAAGTATGATTTACATTAAAAAGTTTTGTAAAATATTTTTTCATCCTCTGCAAAGCATAGTTTTCACTGTAAAATAGTTTTCACTTTTTCAAAATACATTTAAAAATTATATATATATAAAGATGGTCAGTCTACTATTAAGACCATCCAACTTGACTATTCGAATACTTGATATTCGAATATATTTGCATGTTTTTTGGCAATTTGATATTCGAATATTTTTTCCAAATATTCGAATAATTTTAAAAATGTAAATCACGGTAAGCTTTGAAAAAAGTACGGTTAATTTCTCTCTTCCTACAAGAAAAAACAAATAAACCCTGAAATAAAAACAAATCTAAGAATTTTTATATAAAATATAGCCTTGACGTGGGAAAATTGCATTTTTGTATGGTTTTAATTTTGTGCGACATTATTTTTGTTAGTTATTAGAAAGCAGTCGGTTATTTAAATTGCTTAGCAAATATTCGTAAATTTTAATGGAAAAATAATTATAATAAGAATAAGAATAATACTTCAGGTAAATTAAAATTTGTTAGATTTTCTTACATACATATTTACATCTTTGGTTTTTTTAGCCATGTCAAAAAAATCCGAGGTATGGAAGTTTTTTAAGAAAGATGAAAAAAAATTTGGTGAAGCCACATGTGGTACGTGCTACACGAACATTGGATGGAAAAGTTCAACCACTCCTATGACTAACCATTTAAAGCTACGACACAACATATTGATATCTAAATCAGTATCAAGTGAAATTGATGGAGAAAATAATATTCCTAGGAAAAAACAAAAAACTGAAACAAGTACTATTTGGCAATTTGTAAAAAAAGAATCTTTAAATGAAATATTGTCAAAAGTCGCAGCTGTTGATGGAATGGCGATCACGGCAATTAGTAAATCTCAAGCTATAGCTACGTGCAACAAAAAGGTTATAAAATGCCAAAAAGTCCGACAACTATTTCAAAATGCATCAACAGCTTTTATAAAGAAAAATATATTGAACTGCGGGACAAATTTCAAAAATTAAAAACAGCAAATCGTAAATTTGCTATTATAGTGGATAAATGGACAGATTGCACTATTTTACGTTATGTAAACGTAACAGCACATGTACTTGGAATAAACTCAAATACAATTGAAAGCCATGTTTTGGGTTTGACGGAAATAATTAAGCAGGGAAATGCTGAAACAATTAAACATTTAGTTGAAGCTAAGTTGGCAGACTTTGGGAATCGCTTAAAAAATGATGTTATTGCATCAACTAACGACGCAGCAGCCGTAATGAAAAAATATGGCAAAATATTAGGTGTATTAAATCAACTTTGGCATAATCACGCGCTCCATTTAGCTGTCATGGATTGTTTTTATATAAAAAATGTTATTCCCAATGAAGTGTTTGACGATACCGAAAAGTTTGCTGATGAAGAAATGGAAGAAGAAGATTCCATAGAAGATCAGTGTTCTGAATACAATTTGGAGTTTGTTAACGAAAATGAAAATGTAATGACATTGGATATTGATTTTGACCAAATTATTAACAGGTTAAGAGGTGTTATAAAAATGTTTAAAAAATTGGCTACAAAGCATTCTATTTTGCAACATATGCAACAGAACTTATCAGAACTGTAAACGAAACATTAAGCAGCAAAATGGTAGAGCTAAATTTTTATATAAACTTCCTAAGACCAGGTCAAAACTCACATGACAAACATGCAACAGCTCAAAAAATGGGAAAAAAACTTAGTGGAAATATACCAAGTTCCAACGATTATTTTAAATATTCGTTAAAAAATGCAGCAAATTCATTCGCTGTTAAAATTATGGAACAAATATATCCACAAATGTTCATAGAAGAGCATATTAATAGTGATTCTACCTCATCTTCATCTGATGCAGATGATTTAATAGAATTAACACCACAAGTTGGACTACAAAAAGAACTCCAAAAAGAACTGCAAAAAAACCTGCAAAAAGAACTGCAAAAAGAACTCCAAAATGCAATAAGTTCAATTACAGCTCCAAAAAACTGTCATGTTCGCAATACCAGGCAAATTGATAAATATAATGAACTAAAGAAAGCATTTCATCAGTTTGATTCTTTCAAAAAACGATCGGATACGCTGGACGTTTTGTATAATGCTCTTATAACAATACGGCCTACTTCAACAGCTTCTGAAAAGTATTCTCAACAGCAGGCGCAATCAAAACAAAAAGACGAACCAGTTTAAATCATGAAAAATTTAATTCAATTTTTTAAAATATAAATATAAAACATTTAATTCAATTTTTTAAAATATATGTTTTAGAAAAAAAATAATGTTTTAGATAATAAATTAGTTCAAAACTAAACGCTTTTCTTTATTAAAATATAACTATTTTTCTTTTTGTTAATATGCCTTTATACTTTTGATAAATTATTCGAGTATTCGATTACACGAATATTTTAAGATTTTTCTATTTGATATTCGAATAGTTGAAAAGCTTGAATATTTGAATGGTCTTCTACTATTTAAGCAATTCGTAAACATCATAATTTCAATATTTATATTCGTTTTTTTACCCCGTCAGTTGCAGCATTTGACGGGGTTTAGACCCCCCTCTGTTGTGATAATCAGTTTAGGTGGGCTTGATTACCCTAGACCGTTTATAACAAAAAATAACTCAAAATTAAGTAACAATCAATTTAGCCGCTTTTTTTATGTATAGATAAGTTGGCAAATAATTTTTGTATATTATAAAACTGATTACTTACAATAGGAGGGGGTCCAAAATTCTATATTTCTTGTTAACCAGTTATTCTTAATTAATTTTTTGAGAAAAGTTTAAAAAACAATTCAGTTTTTGCATAGTCATTCATTCTTATGACTATGGTCATAAAAAGTAATTTCATTCTAATGCCTATGGTTTTTGGTAATTTTTTATGGTTGACCTTCTACTTTAAAAATTTTTTATTTTTTATAACTTTAAAAATTTAAAGATATAAAAAATCAAAGTCTTGGCAAAAGTTTCTTTGCGTATAAAGTTACGCAACTTTTCTTTTAAATTTATGCTATTCAAATTTTGATTGGATAAATTTGATTTTTAATCGTTGCGTTTTAGAAAAAAAAAGTTTCATCTGAAGTCTTTTTCTAAAAAAACGTTTCAAATAACTAAAGCGACAGATTGCTTCAAAAAAAAAAGTTTTATCTGAAGTCTCTTTCTAAACAAAACGTTTTAAGTAATCAAAAAGATTGCTTCAAAATATCTTAATTTCCTTTTTTTAATTATTTTTAATTGTTATTTAAGCTATCAAGAAGGCTATTCAAGATTTCATTTTTTTTTTTTTTTTAAATTTTTTTAATAAATTCAAGAATAAATCTTATTTTAAAATGCCAGTCAGTAGAAGTTCAGTTAAGTTCTAAAGTTTTAACAATTTTAAAGATAAACAGGCTAAAGGAACACCGCTACCTATAAAAGCTTTATAAAAAACAAACGCAGTGAATAGCTAGTTAATAAAAAAATCTAGAAGCAGTTAATAAGTATACCTCAAAGAGGTTGAATGATTGTATCATTCTTGCTAGAGTATTTTGGCAAAAGTTAGCCTCAGGACTTCAAAAAAGAGAAAAGTATTATGTGTTTGGTTGATTATGGAATAAGATTAGAATTAAAGTTGTTGCAGTTGGAAAGCTTTGGAAAAAAACCATTTAATTTCAACAGTAGATGTATACTTAATTATATAAACCATATAAAAAATGAAGATTCGCACAGTTTAAAAATATTTTGGAGAACTATTGTCCAGTTATTTGTCCAAAATGTTAAAACTATGGAATATAGTTGAAACCCGCTACAAAAACAAATATATAACAACGGAAGAGCATCAAACTTTACATCAGGTGTGCAAGATGAGTTCTGTTTTAGTTTGATTAAAGTTACAAGGCAGCCCATTTAGCTGTGAACTAGACATTATTGAAGTAGATAAAGATATGTTAAAATGAAAAAAAAGGTCGAAAAATGAGGTTCTTTATTTTAGGGATACAATATAGGTCATTGTCGCGGAGGTCTAATCTGTTTAAATACATGATTGTTGATATAAAAATACAAACCTCTATCTTATGTCTACCAAAGAACACGCTCATAACCTAGATGTTCTATAAGGAAAGTTCACGCAGCAATCTCTATCACATATGATGACTTTTATAGTTATTTTCCATTTTCAATAGTAAATAACAAACTGTATGAATTATTTTCATATATAATGCTTACTTTTTTTTTGTTACTTACAAATGATAAGGTATATTATTGATAAATTAAACAGAAAAAGATTTCTAGTTTTCTACTTTTCTTATATTTAATGATAATAATAATTTCATCTATTTTTAACAATGCCTTTTTTTGTCAATATATTCACTTTTATTAAAATCGAAGTAGAAGGCTAAATAATAAAAATGAAAAAAAAATGATTATGGTTTTCAGAATCAGCATGAAAAACTAAATCAGAAAAATTGGTTAAACTATAAAAAATCTAAAAAAAGACGATTATGGACCCCCTACTATATCCTATATCCCTACTTACAACAAGTTGATATGTTGGAACAGCTGTTGCTATGGAAATCATCGCTGCTAAAATTACAAGATGCATGTTGGCTTTAATTAACTAAAAAAAAAACAATAAAAAAACAGATAATTAAAAGATTACAAATTTATTAATTACATTTAATTTCAATAAAATTTAAAATAACTTTTTTGTGCATTCTTTTTATTATATGAAATCATCTAAACAAGATTGCTAAATTGCTCAATAATCACGATAATACTGCGATTACAAAGTTATGTTATTATGTTAGATTTATCTTTTATGATATACTAGTAATGAATATTAAAAATCTTTTGTTATATTTATAAAATAACTGAAAGTTATATGATATAATAAAAAATACTTTTTTTGAATGGTAATGATATAAACAAAAAAAATAAGTTAATAAAATAATATCATTCAAATATAAATATAAAAAAAAAAACTTGTGATTTTAAATACATATTAATAAAAATTTTATGATATAATAATACAAAATTTTGCCGTTAATGTGGCTGAAGATACATTAAATTTTAAATTATTAAATCACGAATCTGGAAATTAAATGGTAGTTTTATCATTCGCGTCTAAATAATCTTTTTTTGTATTTTTATTAATCACAAACGAAATTTCATTCAAAATGAAGGGGGGTGTAAATTTTGTATGGTCATAACTTTTGTAATTTACAATATTTTTCTACGAAATTTAAAATCTGTTGATAAATTTGAATTTAGTTCAAGATAGTAAAGTTGAAAATTTTACTACATTAGTGCCCTCAAAATTGGGCAGGGGGGTGCAGACATTTTAGGGCTATTTTGTTCCCAGGCCTCCGCCGTCCCAAATTTTTGCAAGGCTTCCTCATTTGGCATAGGTATGAACATACTTAAGTTTGGAGTTTGCACAGTGTGTGGAAGTACCCTATCTAAAACATCAAAAAATCCTGCGGGCGCCCATGTTTACATGCATTTTATTCTAAATTTATGATAATTATATTTATGCTGTATGTACTATAAGCATATGATCTGCTAATAGCACATACATCATATGTCTATAACATATGCCCATAGCAATGCTATGAACACTTTTATTATTTTATTTATTTTAATATAAAATGACCAAAAAAATATTCAATAGAGATTGATGACTCTAGATTATCTGAACCTAATTCAATTCAATATAGGCCATGAATTTTTTGTTTATAATCTTAGAAGAGCTGATAAAAAAGGTGATAGAAAAGGTGATAAAAAAAAATCTGTTTGAGATGGACCGTACAAAGTTATAAAAATATTTATTGATAAAGACTTTATCAGTTAAAACAAAAGAATGGCGAAACACTTCGTACCAAGCATCATGGTTTAAACATAAAACTTTCAAAGAAAACTTTCAAAAAAAACATGTGATGGAGTGTCTGATATTAAATCTGAACTAAAAATTGTCGAAGTTGTTGCAAGCAAAATAAACTCTTTTATACCCACTAATAATAAATGGAGAACAAAGAAATGATGTCTGTTGAACTATTAAAATACCTTTTAAGAAAGGTTTTGCTGTACGAAAAAAGAAGTTACTATGCAATTTATCTTTTTTTAATTAATCATTGACTTGTCTTTAACTCTCCCATATTAAGTTTTAATAAATTTTTAGTATACAAGAAATTGAATTTATTGGTATTTAGTAAATTTATTTTTTCTGTAAAAACTTTCAATGAAGGCTTCTTTATATTTATTTTAAATAGTTTAGATTTGTTTTTTAAACAAGAAAACTAGTTTGATTTAGGAAAACAATTGAAGTTTCTTGTCTTGCAGATGACCTTTTTTTTTATCTTTTTTTTAAAACACACCTGTTTTTGTTTAAAATACTAACACAAATTTTAAAATACCAATGAGTTAATTATAAAAATTTGAAATTACAAAACTTTAGAAGACAGCCAACCTTAACTGAGACTAGTAGTTTTCTAAAATCAGTGCTTTTTTTAGTTCATGGACAACTGTAACCTTTGACAGTTACAGTTGCCCATGAACTAAAAAGGGGTCGCTAGCGTGTCACCACGGAAATTTTACTGAATGAAAAAATTGAACTGTAGATTAATTTTAAACTTCAATTAAAATGTTTTATATTACATTCATATGGATTCTCATAAAAGTATATTTATAAAAACAATCTTACTGTAAGTGATTAATAGAGCAAAGAAAAAAATGAAAAAAGTGAGGTACCATAAAAACCTACTCCAATGTACACAAAGGGCTAAAGGCAGCCTTGATAAAAATGTATTTTATTTGTAAAGGTTTTTACCATCATTGCGATTACAAATAAAACAATTCGAATTGATTTAATTACTCAGGTCAGGTCACCTTGCCACTGAAAACATCTAATCCAATACAGCTTGCTTTATATAGGGCAAGTGAGACCTTAACCTTAACCGTAGTGAAGTTAACAAAGGAGAAAGAAAATTCTGAAATAAAATCCATAATATATATGCCAATAAGGATAGTAGGACCTGGTAAACCTCGAAGAGCAATCTTACAAGTGTTAATGAAAATAAGATTTCTCAGTCCTAATCTTCAAAACAGGTCAAATTAAAGAAGAGTATCATGTTTTAAAAACTATTCTGAAATGTTATCTAAATTCGAAAAAAAAGTTTAAAAAATTAGAAGTTGTATTATAAAATTAGCTTTATCTAATTATTTTAATATTTATGAAAAATAAATAAGTTTAATTTAAAAAAAGTAAATGCTCTCTTTAAAAACGTTTTCTTTGCGGTTACTGGTTTGCTGCTACCTGAGTTAAGGGGAAGCCCCCTCCTCCCTCCCAAAAAAATGTATTATATAATTTAAACTAAATCAAGAATATAAAACATTAATATAATATGAATGAATAAAATCCTTTGAAAAAAAAATACAAAATGGTCCTTGGTTGCCATAGTAACCACAAAAATTTACGCCGGTCATAAAAACCAAATTGCCGTGCAAGATCTGTTCATAACCTTTTCCCAAATGCTTCAGAAAATATCAAAAGGTTTTTTAATAAAGGCAATTTTCCTGTAACTAAAAATCTGAGCGCTGTGTGCACATTCAAAGATGGCAAAAAAATTTTTATGCAAAATTTTAAGAATAACAAAATCTAAAAATCAAATTAAAAAAACTTTCAATTGAAACATAGCTTATAATAAGAGAAACAACTCCTGAAATTTTTTTCAAAATTGGTAGAAATAGAATGGCCGGCGTGCAAAAAAAGACTGCTTTGAAAAAACGCGAAATAAAAGTAAAAATTAGCAAACATCACTTTAAAACTGGTCAAAATTTTGGGTCAAAAACATATTATAGTTAAAAATCTAATAAAAAGTGAAAAAAAAATTTTTTACTTTTTTTTATTTTTCCCTTCTTCTATATACAAATTTCTTTCTTTGCGTTCTTATTATGTTTTTTTCGCCACTAGTAATTTTTCGTAATAATTTTTTATTAGCAATTCTGTATTTGGCACGTATTTGGCATCAGATGCCAAATACTTGGCCGACACTGCTTTAAACGTACCCCAAAAGTTTGGCCGACACTGCCCTAAACGTGAGAGCAACAATTTAATGAAATAGTTTTTGTACTGTTTTTAACTAGACTTATATTTATTGATAGATTTTAAGTTTCATAGTATTATCTCTCAGCGTTCAAAAATTATGACCATATAATATTTGCAACCCCCTCAAATTGAGGGGGGTTTAAACTTTATATGGTTATAATTTTTGAACGCTGAGAGATAATACTATGAAACTTAAAATTTATCAATAAATATAAGTCTAGTTGAAAGTAGTACAAAAACTATTTCATCAACTTGTTGCTCTCACGTTTGGGGCAGTGTCGGCCAAAATTTTGTTTTTTTTTGTTCCAAAGCTCCAATTATCGTAATTTTTTGCAAAGCATCTTTTTTTTGCATAAGTATAAACTTATAAATGTTTGGAGTTTGCTCCATGTCTGGAAGTTAGCTATCTCAGACACCAAAAAATTCAGGCGCCGCCACTGGTATCTATAGTTCAGATTTTTACAACCTTGAAGGGTATATGCTTCTGAAATCTTTGTCAGAAGTTCATAGACTAAAATTGAGACTTTTCTACCAATATTAAAAAAATTAGCCACTGCATCATACACTCGAAATTATGATTGATTAAATGATATAAAATTTGTTTTAGGTAAGTACTCCCAGAACGTGCAATTAAAACCTTTGTTAGTATTTTGTGTCTTACCATGTAAATAGTTTTCCAACTGTTTGCCAGCACTGAATTCCTCAATAATTGGTTTGATTTCATAAACAATATCTATTGTTAAACTTGGTCCAGGTTTATAATTATTTGTGCTATTAGCTTGATCTGAACTATATTTACACCAACTCTTAGCTCCTAATAGGTATTGTGGAAAATGTAGAATATTCTTCTTGTTTGAGCCAACACAATAAAGGGATGCCAGGGTAATAATCAAGGGATGCCAGGGTATCTGTTTTTATAGAAGTTAAATCCCCTATATTAGTTTTAATTACAACACCAAAACAACTATGCAATTGAATATATGATCAATTGTGGTATCTGTTAATTCCAAATGGATCTTTTAAAGTTGTCAGACAACACAAGGGATTTTACATCGTGGCACAACGGAAATGTGAGTTCTGTAAAAAATATCGGATAACTCTTCAATATTTATAAGTCTAATTATAAATTTTGAACTAGATAGTTGATTAATAAGCAGATTAATAAGCAGATTCAACTACATCAATTTGTTGTATTATGGAATATGATGCTGAGATATTTACATCAGTATCAGAAGCGTAGTTTTTATTTTTAACATTCACACAGTGTCAGTCTTTATTAAAATATCTACAATAAGAAGAGATTTTTTATTTACACTATTAACAATAAGGCCTTCTTCGCAATTGAAAGATATTTTGACATGAAAAGGTCCACGTCTTCTTCTTGCAACTTTGGTTCGAGCTTTTACTCTACAACTTTTTGGCATCTCTTGCTTTATTAAATAACTTTAACCTAAGTGTGTTTTTGTCTCTAATCTCACTTGTTTTCGCTAAGCTGAGCAAGAAGTACAACAGAATAAAGTATTCACCCAAATAACACTTTTAAAAACAGCTTTGAGAAGAAAAAAATTTACGACAGAAAAATAAAGCTTTCGATAAATTAAAACATAAAATAACCCTTTTAAAAAACTCCAAATTATGCAGTTTAGAATAATTTTTAAGAAGAATAAGTTACAGAAATGAAATCAATTGCGAAGAAAAAAAATTTGTTGTTGATAGTGCATGAAAAAGAATCTCCTCTTATTGCAAATATTTTAAAAATGTAAAAATTTAGTATGAGCTCTTGTAGACATGAAAATTACCATATATGGTAATTTAATAAACGACGTTATGAACACGTCTTGAGCCAACTGGGTGTATATAAAACTGATTTCGTTTTTATAATAATAATATTTTATATAACATTATACGTAATCTATATATAGTATTAATATTATATGTAATATAGTAATAATATTATATATAAAAGGAAGTTTTTCTAATATTTTAAAAACAAAATCAGTTTTATATATACCCCAGTGGGCTCAAGGAGTGTTTGAAACTTCGTTTTTTAAAAGTTGTTACCGTATATGATCAATATACTGATGATATACAGTAACAACTGCAATAAATAAAAAGAATAGACTCACACAAATTAATTTTATAACAGCAGAAAATCTTACCAGAAGAACTTCCGTTGCGTGTTTGTTGTTATTTTATAACTCTTTACTTCAAGTCTTTATATATATTTAAACTGCGGAGGCATGGAAACAAATTTACAATAATTGCTTAAGTTGCAAATAAATTGAATTTATTATGAAAAGCTAAAGATGACAATGAAGATAAAAACTAACCGATTAGGAAAACAATTAAAAAGTTGTATGTTTATTGGTTACTTTATGTACTTCATAAGACTAACCCTGACATACCTAAACTATATCGGGGTTGGGTTTTTATCTTTTATATATATTTAAATGAACCACTAAGTAAATATAATATATGGTATGATTATCTATTAATCTATCCTAATAAAAGTTTAGTAAAAATATGTTTATTACGTTTCACTGATATTTTATTTCTGTTAACGCATAATTTGGGTTATTTGATGTTTGAAAATATTAGTGTCAATGCCAATACCATGATAATGCCAATTTGGCTCATAAACAAATTTGAATATATATCTTCAAAATTTTAAAATTTAAACACTTACAGTTTAACTAGTAAAACTTCTCACAAAAATTAAACAAAAATTATATCATCATTAGTTCGAGTTATAACCGTTATATAACCGTTTATAACCGTTATATAACCGTTTATAACCGAGTAATATAACCGTTTGTTTACAAAACCGAATTTGAAATCGAAGCTTTACAAAGAAAAGTTTTGCATAAAATAGCCAAACTGATGATCCAAAGCAATGATATATTATATAACTAGATGTCCAACTTGCGGGATTTTATTGGACAAAAAGTGAGGCCGCTTTTTTTTGTTTAAAACAATAGTCCGCCATTTGTAAAAAGGGCAAAAGCTGGAGCCGAAGTGTGGAATAAAAGTTAAAAATTCAAGTCAAAAGTTCCTAATAAATTAAATTCCATTTGCGTTTAACTTGTTACTGTTTTAAAAGTAACAAGTTAAAAGCAAAAGCTGTTAAAAATTTGTTTAAAAATCCTTTGATTTTAACCTGATACTGTTTTGAGAGTGTGGCTTTTGAATTCTTTTAAAACACCTTTAAAGTGTTTATTGAATTAAACCGCATCACTAATAATCACATTAGCCAGATTGCAATACTCATTATTACATATCTGGTTATTTTTCCAGCGTACGTAAATGTTATAGTTTAAAGTTTTGTTAGAAAAGTCTTTTTATAATCTATTTGCATTTTCCAAAATCTAAGATCAAATTTTTATTTTACACTTTTCTTAGTGTAAATTGTTACAAACAATTGGCTTTAATTTTATCATTGTTTTAAGCATGTAATATTTTTTCACCATATTAAGGATGCGTAAAAAGATAGATAAAAGAATTGTTATAGAACAAAGTGCAAATAGTCACCTAATGTATTTTTACCAAAACAACAGTTTTATATTACATTGAAATATAAAAATTTCACACTGTGATATATTAAAGTAAATACCGTATATTAAAAAGTCTTTTCTACGAGTTGTAAATTATATCATAGATCATTTCTTAATTAAACAAGAAGTTGTTGCAATAACTACTTCTAACAATTAGTGTTTATTATTCTTTCAAGAGTTTAATATTTTCATTTTTGCCGATCTGTTTGTTTTTGTCGGTATTTGAATTTTTTTTTTATCAATAAAGTTTATTGTATAAATAAAAAATTTTTTACCAATAAAGATTTATTGTATAAATAAAATCTTTTTGTTATACAGTTTTGCAGGATATTTGGTTATTGAATACATAAGTTATTTTAAATAAAATAGTAAAATATACTATTCATATTACTTTACATTATAATTTTTTTAAATTGAATAGATAAACAGTCATTATTTTGATGCGTAATCAAATAAGAGCCTTTCCTCGCGACGCTGTTGATTTTATTTCTTTCAATAAGAATTGAAAGAGCGGATATCTTTGCTTTCAAACAGCGCGTTAAACGTCCATTTACTACTACGCCCTTAACCAAACCAACGAAGTATGACTATATAATTCCATTGGCGCCACCATTCACTGTAAGTTTACCCACCAATAAAATAAAATTTAGGGGACAGTTTTGCTTTATTAACTTTTTTCAGTAAACATTCTGTTACCTGCAAAGCATTAACTTTTTGGAAATATAAAGGAACCCTGTGTAACTCGAAACGCATTATGAAATGATATATACATATATATATATATATATATATATATATATATATATATATATATATATATATATATATATATATATATATATATATATATATATATATATATATAGTTGCGGGTTTTTATTGGACAAAAAGTGAAACCGTTTTTTGTTCGCTAATTAATCCGCCATTTGTAAAATTGGCAAAATATTATGTAATTAATGTTGTGGAAGCCATTTCTAATTAATGCAAAAGCAGCTTTACTGTTCGGATTGAAATTAGAAATCTAGTACATTTAATGTATCATTGGCTTCATGTGCTTAAAAACATCTTAATTGATGTAAAAACTTTGTTTAACATAAATATATTATTGCCGACCTTAGTGTTAGTAGTAGCGTTAGTGCCCCTTCGAGCGTGTTTGACACGAAACCCTTAGCAGCTATTGCAACCGAGGTAGTGACGAGAAAGAGTCGCAGCACTTTGTTCTATAAGAAAACGTGAACGAACGTGTATGCAAATATCAACTTCAAATTAAGTAATGCTAAAACATACTGAAACATTTATCAAGTTTTACAGTTTGGTTTTCACTTGAAAATTGCATTGCGTCAAGTTCTCCTTAATTTTGATTTATAACATTTAAAACATTTAACCCTTAAAAAAAATATTTTATAGTTTTAAAAATTTTCGTATAACAACATGCCAACGTGGCCGAGTGGATAACGCGCCGATCATCTAAACGAGTAAACCGTGGTTCGAGTTCTACCACTCGCGACTTTTTTTTTCAACTTTTTTCGATTATTTTAAAATACAAAATACTTTTGAAGATTTATAGAGATTATATACAAACATATATAACGATATCATACACTTTAACAAACGAAAAGATTTTAAAAAAACTAAAATTTCTAAAATCATCAAAATCCTGGGAGAAAATATTTGTTCCGTAGTGCCATGATTGGGATACTTGTATTATTAATGTGCTCAGGTAATTAGTCCTAATAAGCTGTAGATGGTCTGAAAAAAATTGTCTGATACTTAAAAAAGAAAAAACTTAATAAGACAGTCCTGCTATTCCATAAGGTACTGCTGCGGAGGCAAAAAAAAAAAAACAATCTGTAACTAGAAAAAACTTTAAAACTTTCTTTTGGCGGTTAAAAGTTTTTCTTGTTATAAATATATGTTGCAGCGGTTTTTCAAAACGCCTTCATATGCTTATTACGAGAAAAACGCATTTTAAAAATAAAATTTATTAGGAGAAACTCTTTTTAAAACCTTTTTTGAAACTAATAATTTTTATGAATTTTTTCAGAACTCTTTGAAAATATGCATTCAATAACGTTTGTAGACATCTAAATTAGCTTATTTTGTAAAAAAGTCAAAATTGATTTTTTTTACTTTAAGACGTTTTGAATAACGGCTGTAGTATTGATAATACAACGAATATGTTGAAATAAGATAATTTAACGCAAAATTTAAAACCTCTTAACAAAAGTACTTAAAATTTTTAAGTGTAGTATATTGGTGTTTGCAAAGAAACATATAAATCGTTTTTTAATACAAAACTAATTTTTATAGACTCTTGTGTCGGCAGGTTTGGCGCCTAACCATCCCTATATAAACGATATATGTATAATAAACAAATGTGTAATTTGTTTATTATACATAAATTGTTTATAAAATGTAAAAAAATCCACTTGTATAACGTTTTCCTAGGATCGTGAGTAAACTCTTCTAATAATTGCAAGTCTTTTTTGCTCAAGCTGTTTTCGTTTTGATTATTTGTATGTATGTTATTTTATTTAAAAAACTGACAAGATTGAAAAACACGAAACATACTGTATCATCCAAGTGGAAAATTTGAAGTTTCATTTTTAGATTTGCCCCTCTCTTGATAATTTCTGATTGCTAAAATTACGTTATCTGCTTAGTAGACCATTAAAAATGATACACGAGGCTTTTTCGTAAATCGTAAAAGCCACAATTTTTTTGCGTATGTGACATTACTTTGTGGTAAAAAGCTAAAAAAGCAAACTAGAAATAAGATTTTATTTAAATTTATATAAAAAAAACTCCTTCTATTAAAGATATATGGAATATATTTTTATAGGATATATTCTAATAAAGACAAAAATTAATTATTTATTACTCTTATAATAAATATTATCTCTTAATCTGTGAAATGATATATCTGTACCAGTTTTTTATCTTTTTATGCAATTGTATGCAACATAATTAAAATTAATCAAAAAATATAAGCAAAAGGAAACTGACGCATAAAGGTTTATTTCGGCACAAACTGACGTCAATGCGCTAAACGTTTAATAGCTGAAGCTATTATTTTTTAGTTTTTAGAATAACTTTTTTGTAAGAATAACTTTTTTGTTATGACTATGTTTTAGTCTAAGATCTTCTTAGTTCCATTAGTATAGCGTGACGTAGTTTGCAGGCATTATATAAAGATAATCTTCAAAAAATTTTATTTTAAATTTTAGAAATCTTTTTTGCTATATTATTATTTTGCTATAAATATATAAGTAAGATTGAAAAAATTTCAAAATTTATTACGCTAAGAAGAGGTCCAAAACAAAACTGATAACAGCCCACTTAACCGCTGAGCTATCAATGAAATGCAATTAGCAGAAAAGCAAACCTAATTATAAGTCTCTTATAAGCTCTACGTATGCGGAAAAAGTGCATGCACATGTTAAGTTTTTTTAAGTACACATGCTAAGTTTTTTGCTCTTGAATGTTTTTTTCAGAATAAATTATTTTACTAAAAAATATTGAAATAAATAAGGGATATGTATATAAATAATCGGTGTGCAATAGATATGTGTAGTAAGATCCGGAAAGCTAGAATATATAAGGAAAAAGTATAGAAAAGTTCGGTTTATAATAATAGACTTACCCGTATTTTTACGGGTCCGTATTTTTTATATCTGTATTTTTACGGGTCCGATCTCAGCTAGTAGAAATTAATGTCAAAAAACTATGACGTCAAAAATTATATT